TGTTCTTCCCACTCTGAAACGCGGGGAATCCACAGCCAGGAATGCGGCTAACACCGACCTGGAGCCACTACCCGGAAGTCAACCCCAAGTCTGGAAATGCTTAACACGCTGTCCGGGGAGAACTGCTGTGCACACTACACGCGTTTGTCAATGCCGTCAGAAACAAATCGTCAGATGCACGTTGACTATGGCTCATGAAGAAGCAACGTGAGAACGTGCACAAGCTCTGAAAAGTAATATTTTATCAAAAAATAAAGAAAAATAAAATACCTTCTTTGGCTTCTCCAAAACAAAGGGTAATGTTTTCCAGGACAAAGGTGCTGTACAGAGGGTTGCAGTCACATCATAAGGTAACAGTGCATTGCCTGCCGAACCTCGTCAGCCCCCCTCTGTTTTTCTCCCACTCCCCCCACCCCAAAGGAAGTTCAGAAGTATGTGTCCTAGTTCTGTGACCCGTTCTATTTTCCTATGGAGAATTCTCCAAGTAGCAAACTGGAAATGTTGTGAGACTTAAAGTGAGTTCATTGGAACACAAATGACCATGGAGCTACAGAGTGTCTGACCTGCTGGAAGAAACAACTAGAACTGGAGTCGTCAAGCTCTTCAGACAGTGTTGTATTCATTAGTCCTAATGAATCATACGCACATATCACGTACAGATTCAAAGATAACTAACAGGCTGAGCTAATGTTTACAATACACCATACACAATAAAGAGCTCTTAAAAAACGAACACAACTCTTAAAAATGAAGGGCGGGGAAGGGAGGAAACTAGGCAACTCCAATGAAAGGGGACACTGTCCAAAAGAAAAATGTAGGTATTGCCTGGACGGTGGCGTGACCAATCCTCTGTGCAACACCTTAACTGTGACAATAAAACAGCAGATTGCTTTAAAATGAGGAAGTGGAGCTGTGGCTCAAAGTGGTGGAGTGCTCGCCCTGAGCGAAAAAGCTCAGGGACAGCGCCCAGGCCCTGAGCCCAAGCCCACAACTGACGAAAAATAAAATAAAAAATGAAGAACACGCAAGGGAAGGGGAAACACTGTCCCAGAAGGAATGTGCCTTTTCCCTGACTTACATAACTGCAGCCCTCCGTAATCACCTTCATAAGAACCATGTTTGTAAGTGAAAAACAGCCAGGCACTGGTGGCTTCTGCCTGTGATCTCAGGTCCTCAGGAGGCTGAAATCAGGATCCTGAGTTGAAGCTGGCCTTGGCAGAAAAGTCCACGAGACTCTGATCTCCAATGAACTTCCAAAAAAAAAAATCAGAAGTGGAGCTGTGGCTCAAGTGGTAGCATGCAAAATGCAAAATGTTTGGGGACAGCATCCATACCCTGAATTCAAGCTCCAGGACCAGCACCAAAAAAGTAAAATAAAATAAAAACACAGAAAATTCTGCACTCATCATAAAATTAATTTTTTTTCACAAATACAAACCAGAAAGAACATAGAAAAAAATTAAATCCCATAAATAAATTCAGCAACATTTCAGGATATAAAGAAGACCTCCAATAATAAGATTGCTAACAAAGAGAAAGTAAGAAAATAATTCCATTTGTATTAGTATCAAAAAGTTTAGAATACTTAAGAGATATGTGGAGCCTGGAAGGGCACATAGTGCATCGTACACTGAAGCTACAGCATGTCGGTGAAAGAAATAAACAAAAGCCTTACATAAATGGAAGTATATCCCATGTTCCTGAATTTGAACACGTGGTGTTATTACAAAATACTACCTAAAGTACTCTACCGACTTAATGAAAAAGGAAAGAAAAAACGAGGGGCAAAGAACTAAAATCCAACAAAGTAGCAAGAACAAACTAGGAAGAGACACAAAAAATCTACGTACAGTATGTTTTCAGTCTACATGTTTTCAAACCTGTGAGTCCTGCTCGGGGAGAAGCCACATGCCCAGCGGATGAACACCGGAATGTAAGATGCCAGGCTGCGGTAGAGGCTTCCTCATAAACGCAGAACCTCCATTAGAGGAGTTCGTGCTACTTAACAAAACTGGCCTCACCTGTCTTTGACCCAGCAATTCAACCTGTAGGGGCCTGGGCTAGAACCCCCGCCTGCAAAAGGAAACCCGTGTGCTGGGCTGGCACTGACGCAGCTGCAGACCTCGGGAACACACTGGAGAGGAGGAGCGCTGCCCTCGGAGCCGGCGAGCGGCCCGGCCATGGGAGCCGCGCAGACACCCTGACCACGGCGGGCGCGTGGCCAGTGACCCCGCAGGCCTTGCAAGAAGCTCTGGACCCTGTGAACCTTTGTGTGCGCGTCTGCAAACGCGGACAGTGTGACTGTCACCGGAGGCAATGTGGCACCTGGCCAGAGACCCAGAGCAGGCGCCGGCTGCCACCCCACCGGTGCGACACCGACACAGGAGGTCCCCACTCGGTCCCCAGTGCGCCTGCTGCGTGGCCTCGGGCAGGAGCCAGAGCCCCACCGCCAGACAGGGCTGAGGGGTGGCCCCTGAAAATGTCTCCCGCCTGTCATCCTTCCTACTCAAGGGGCAAGACCTGAGGATCGCAGTTCAAAGTCATCCTGGGCAGGAAAGTTTGTGAGACTCTTATCTATATTTAACTATCAAAAACCCAGAAGTGGCACTGGGGCTCAAGCAGTAGAGCGCTAGCCTTGAGCAAAAGGAGATCAGGGACAGCCCCAGGCCCTGAGTTCAAACCCCAGGACCACCACTCTCCCCGCCCCCCCCCCGCACACACACACTCACACACACACACACACACACACACACACTAACTGAAGTGTGGTATGTGCAAATGGTGTAGCTCCTTTGCACAACTAATTTACAGTTTAACAAGATAAGATTTTCTTCATTTAAAAATGAAGAACACACCACCGCTATTACCCCCCAAAGACCAGCCTGTGTCTCAGCGAGGTGACCCTGAGCCTGGCGCCTGGCATTGATCACCACTGACCCTCCGCTCCCACCGCTGACCCCTGACCCTCCGCTCCCACCGCTAACCCCCGACCCTTGGCAGGACCCGCGCTCCGCAGCCATGCTGCTCGTGGGGCTTGGCTGTGGGACCGCGCTGGGGGTTCTCTGGATCTCCAGTGACGGGTGTGGAGCAGCTGTGCCCGGACACCTGCGCAGTCCTCTAAGATCTGGGTCTCCACGTGTCAGAGACGACACACAGACCCTTGCTGGAGAGTTCAGATGTCCCGGGAGACGCCGGGGACCAAGGGGAGGAAGATCTGCTGCTTGGAGGAGAGCGCGGACACCGCCCAGCGGGGCGTCCGCAGGGTTGAAGCAAACACCGTGCTGGGATTCCTTTCCGCTGGACTTCCACTTATCCACAACCACAGGTAACACCCCAACTTCTGCGTCCTCACGCTTAGAGTGTGTCCAATCCCTAATCTGGGGCCGGCTCTGACCCTCCATTGGTTTTGTTCCTATTACTCTCTTTAAGCAGTCGTACAAAGGAGCTGTCATTGAACAGAGCTTTGAACAGAGCTCTTGCTCAGTCCCCCCTCCCAACTTCCTCACCAGCGCCCCCACCAGCCCTTCCCTCCAGCCCTTCCCTCGCTGCTTCGTTTTGCAGGCTGCACGGCGGCTCCTGGACCGCTCTCCCCCCGTCTATTTGTTATATCAGCAAAATACAGCCTTCTGTTGTTAGCAGTGTCATCGTAACTTTACACCCCCTAACCAGGGATGTTGGTAACGTGACCAGTTTACCTCACGTGCTTCTTGACACGGTGAGAAAGAGCCTATCATGGTCTGTAGAATGCTTGCCAAAAAAAAAGGATGACCAGAATGTTCTCGATGGGAAATCGACATGCTCACGCGCAGAGACTCTACAAAAATCACTCGCCGATAATCAAGGTCTTGAAAGACAGATCCAGACCCAGCCTGCCTGGAAGGGAGCGAGTCAACATGGAGATTAACCATGAAGACTTCGGGCCTGGGTCAGAAAACGGATGTTGGGGAGGAGATGGGGCCGGGGGATGCCTGGTGCTGAGCGATGGGTTTTCAACGTCCATGTCCTCGTTTCGGCCGTGGATCATGGGAGTGTGAAGAGGAACCGAGTGAGGAAAAGACTGGAACTCCATTGCTTGAGTGGCTTTTTTACAGTCTGGCATGATTTCAAACTAGAAAGCTAAGATGCACGCACCGAGCTAATGAGTGGCCAGCCTTTACGACCGCGGTGCTCACATGGCCCCTGGGCAATAAAGAGCCGCCCCGACCCGGATCTTCCAGTGTTTAATGACACAAGCCCCAGGCGGCGCCAGGCTCCGCGCCGCTGTCAAGCCTGCGCCTCCGTGGACGCCGGCGTGCTGCTGCCTCGTTAGTGAGGCGCGCGTGGACGCTGGTGCTGGGGTCTGGGTTCTCTCAGGAAAGGGACTCAGGCGTTGGGGTGACACGCTCCAGGAAACTGCTGCAGCCTGGCTCCTGAGCCCCAGCCGCCTGACGGGGCTGGCGGGCGTGTGCTGCCGGCCGGGGACCCCTCGGGCACCTTTTTGGGGCCCCGTGGTGGCAGCCCCTGAGATGACACTCACGGTTCCCCCTGCCCTCTAGGCCTCGCGCCTCGGCCAGGACAACCACGGGGCATGGGAGCTCGCGAGGGGCCGCGGGCCAGGCCGCTGCGGGCGCTGGGCGTGGGGCGGATGGGGGCTCAGTGGCACTGCCGTGTGTGGCCGCAAAGCTCAGGCGCAGAGGCTGCGGTGGGAGCCGCTGGCAGGGCAGAGGCTGCGGTGGGAGCCGCTGGCAGGGCAGAGGCCAGCCCCCCCTCCGAGGGACCGAATGTCCCTCCTGCAGGGAAGGAGGTACACGTGCACGTGCAGGGGCCAGGCAGACGGAGATGGGGTTCTATGCACCCCCAGGGCCGCCGGACGCACAGAACAGACGTGGCCAGTGAGTGATCCAACCCTTTAATGACAGCCCGCCAGCGTGTCTGCTGCCTCCCACCCACGGAGCAACGAAACCAGGAGAACCAAGAGCGGAAGAGGCCGGTGGGCGCCCCGGCCGGGAGGTCCAGACGCCTCAGAGCAGCAGCAGGGCCAGGAGGAGGCCGGCCGGGGGCCAGAAGCCGCCCCAGGCTCTGAGGCCGCCCTGGCTGGAGCTGCTGGGCTTGGGGGTGGGGCTGGCGGCCGCGTCCGTGCAGTTCACCTGGATGAGCAGGACGTCTCCCACCGTCTGATTCCCCCCGGCGGACAGGGCCCCACAGGTGGAGCTGCTGATGTCAGAGCAGCCTTTCACCAAGAGCCGGGACTGGGTTCCTGAGAACACAGAAGAGACAGTGAGGCCTCACAGGCCCCGTGTCTGCCCCGCGTCTGCTCCCGCCGCCCAGCTGTCACACAGCAGCTAAAGCACATCAGAGAGCCCGCCTGTCCCTGACGGAAGCAGCCCAGCGCAGCAGTGTAAAAAAGAGAGAAGATCCACAGAGGTCAGAAGCCAGAACCCCCCTCCATGGAGCCCTGAAGGAAACGGCACAAGGGGTGAACGGAAAACCCATGCTCAAAAGTGAGGATCCGAGCTGGAGTACGGGCTTGATCTCCTTACATGTCTACACAGCTGCAGGAGGAGGAGGGGGAGGGGAAGGGGGAGGAGGGGGAGAGGAGGAGGAGGAGGGGA